CCAGCTCCATATGCTTGGTCCGAGCATGAAGAACAGGATTATGGGCTAGGGCAACTGTGCTCATATTATCACAATAAACAACAGGAGTGTGATGAGAGACATGTAATTCAGAGAGTAAGGTTTGAATCCACAAGGCTTCAGCAGTGGCAAGAGCAAGACTTCTATATTCAGCTTCAGCGCTTGAGCGAGCAACAACCGTTTGCTTCTTAGACCACCAACAATTGACATTGGGCCCAACAAATATAGAGGCACCAGAGGTAGATATTCGGTCATCAGGATCAGAGGCCCAATCAGCATCACAGTATGCACGAATAGACAGAGGAGAGTTAGATGGAGCTGGTTGCAGATGTAACCCCAGGAACATAGTGCCTTTTAAGTATCTAAGGATGCGTTTGACAACGGACCAGTGTTGTTCAAGAGGGTTAGACATGAATTGACAGACTTTATTGACAGATAAGCTGATTTCAGGATGAGTGATAGTGGCATATTGTAAAGCACCAACGACTGTATAAGGTCACATCAAGGAATTTCTCCAAACCTGTTTTGGAGAGTTTACACCTACTAACCATGGGTGAAGAAATAGGATTGGAGTTCTCCATGTTGGTGCGATTGAGGAGGTCACGAATATATTTGCTTTGGGTTAAGGTGAGTGAGCCATCATGGTTAGATTTGACCTCAATGCCAAGAAAAAAATCTAGGCGACCAAGATCCTTGAGGGAGAAGGCAGAGTTGAGTTGAGCAATAATGCTCCAAAGTATGGAGGAGTTATTTCTAGTGATAATAATGTCATCTACATAGACAAGGATGTAGATTACATGATTGCCATGGGAGTAGACAAATAGGGAAGGATCACACTTGTTGTTCTAAAAATTGAGTTGAAACAATGTAGCTTTAAGTTTATCAAACCAAGCACGGGGTGCTTGTTTAAGACCATAAAATGCCTTATGGAGTTTGCAGACCAGAGCTTTATTCGAGGATTCAAAGCCTGGAGGTTGAGACATATAGACCTCTTCCTCAAGATTTCCATTCAGGAATGCGTTGTTGACATCCAATTGCTAAATTCACCAGTGATGGGTTAGGGCCAAGGTGAGAATGAGACGGATGGTGACAGGTTTAACAACTGGGGAAAAGGTTTCATTAATTAAAAAAATTAGTAATTTCTATGATTTACAGTTTAAAATAAATCCCATATGAGTAAGCAATATTTCCTTAGTTTTAGGAAATTAAAAAAAGTTAGGAAATGATTAAAAAAAATGAGAAAAGGATAAATAAGCAATCATAACTTTTTTATTTAAAAAATATTTAGTTAAAATATTGTAACGTAGTGAGTATTTTTGAAGGCCATGGGTGATTTAGTAGCCCAGAATGGGCCGTTCCCAAACTGGAACGGGCCGTTCCAAACTACTAAATTGACCTATAAATCCTAGAATGGAACAGGCCATTCCAAACGTGGTTGTTGTGAGTTAAATTCAACTCCAGATGTCCAGGGAAAAAGAAAAGGAAGGAAAAGGGGTCTCACAAAATAAACATTATTAATAATTTATAAAGAATAAAAAATTAAGATTATAGCAACCCTATAACTTCAAGAAAAATAAAAAATGTTACTTCGATGATAATATATTAATAACATTAATATGTTAAGTCAGAAAATGATCTTAAATTTTTTAGGATTTTAAGTTTTAATGATAAGAAATATAGACACCTTTTAAAGGATTCTTTTTTCTTTAAGATTAATGTTTATAAGATGATTTGATCAGAACGTTTAATTATCTTGACATTAAATCTCACATACAAAGTACTTTACTTCATATCATTTATGCTATCTAATAACAAATTTATAAAAACTTTTTTTGATACTAATTCACTAAATGAATTAAAAACATGTTTTTTGTCAGAAAAAGGACTAGCATATCCCACAAAGAACGAAAAATTGTTTTGCATTGACACATATGCATGGTTCCTCTCCTTTGGTACATAAAAGGTAATATGTAATATTCTTAATCAAATAAAAAGTAACAATTTGGTAAAATATATTTAATGTACCCACGAACACTTTCCTCTACAAAGAATGAAGATGAAAACAGGCGAAACATACATGTGAAAGACACTCAAGAATTGGTAATAGTCATAAAACACATATATAAAGAAGCGTGAAGATTAAAAAACACATGATTATGTTTTGACTAAGTTGACTTCCTTAGTCTAACAATTAGCCATTCGTTGTAATACCGTTGGAACTCATTCCTTTCATTAATATTTAAATCAATATATAAAATAATTTTATGATTATTCGTCAATTTGAATTAATGAAACAAAGTATTAGATGATTTTCAAATTTCTTAAAAATTTACAAACTTGATCTATGCATGAAAAACTTTAAACTCAACAATTGAATCATTAAAATTTGATGTAGAACATGAGTTATTAAATGAAGTAAGTTTACATAGATTTACCTTTAGAATAGAGAAATCTTTCCTCTTTATATATATTGTGTTGTGTGACTATTTTGTGAAAATAGAAATTCTTTTAAAGCTTCAAACAAAAATGTAATTGTATAAATTATAATATGTAGAAATTTAACAACAATACTTGAGTGACAAAAACTTAGATAAAGTTAATAAAAACTATGTCCAACAAGTACTCCTTAAATTTTAAAAACTTCTCCATCAAGTCATCAAAATATTCTAGTTATAAATAAGTAATTAACCTAATTTTACAATGAAACAAATACATATCAGAAAAAGTTTAAAAACTCCAATAACTTAGCAACTGACCAGTTTTGTTTCTACACCCAAAGAAAAAGCAAAACTGCTATTTCGTACCAAGTCTTCTCCTTACACGAATTTCTCAGAATAATCCGCATTTATTTTTTATTTTTTTACTCCGTTTTCATATGAAATAAATAGCTAATTCATTGATATCAATAAAAATAATTAAATTAGTTCATTTTAAGGTTTAATTATTTTATTGTTTTTGACAGAAAATTATTTTTTAGGTTCTTAAATTTGAATTAAATTGGTTTTAATTTCTCAAAATTAAGTGATTTTTTAATTCTTTAATTTAAAAATAAACCACGTTTAATTCTTATCAAAATCAAAGTGAAAAAAATGTGGATAAATGATTAACTATTTTTGAAATAGGAGACTAAAAAATCACTTTTATATTTGAGAGACTGGAAAAATAAACTTTGAACAAATTTGAGAGATTAAAAAAAACTTAAATTTAAATTTAATTTTATTATTAATATATAATTATTTTAAAATAATATTTTTAGAAGAACGTAGAACAAAACATAATTCGAGTCCATCTAAAAAAATTACATAAGCTGTAAGGTGTAAGTTTAAAATCTCAATCCGTCCAAATTAACAATAAATGAAGTTGGATCAATGAACGAGATAAGTCTTATTGATTCCTAATTTTCCCATCGAAAAAAAATTATTACAGTACTCATAAATTGTGGCGTTTTAATATAGTTAATTTTTTAAATTATAATTATATATGAAGTAACATGTGGATTTTTTTCTTTTCATTTTTTTTCCTTTTCTAAATGATGTATTCTTGACAAATAGATAATCTTAAGTCAATTTCCTCTTACAAAATATTAACCCAAATATTTCAAATCTTTTTATAGAAATTAATAGTGAGCAAATCAAAAACAATAAAATTATGCTTACTGAAGTAGAAAGAGATTTTGTAGATTTTCTATTCACCTGCCTCTTATAAAAGCCTCTTAATTATATTTTATTTATAACAATAAATAAAATAATCCTTTAAAAATATTGATAACTTATATACAAGTGTTAAGAATCTCAATTCAACATTATTTATAAAATCATCAAAACAAAGTATCTTTACCAATAAGTTAAAGATTTCTTATATATATATATATAAATTTTAAAAAAATATATGTTCAAATGAAAAAAAATAACTTCTTTAAAATCAAACATTCATATATTATATATATAAAAAAAACACTGTTCTAAAATCCTTTAAATTTAAAAGAGTCCTATAGAATTTTCTTTTGTTTAAAAAAAGGAGTACACTTCTGACTTCTCTTCACCATATTTTACGGCAAGGCAAGTGGTCACCGTATTTAGCACTGTGACAACCCACAAGTCAATGCATACAGTCATACATGATTACATATTTTTGGCTGCAAATATTTTAGAGGAAAAAACAAGATTATTCAGTCAAACGTGGAAAAAGAAAAGGTTAAAGTAATGAATGAGGACTAGGATGTGTTTGAAAATTTGTTTGAATGGTAAACAGAAATTTTGCATATTTCAATGTACAAATGAAATAACAAGAGTGTTAAATTGAATTGAACGCGAGTTTAGTTAGATGAAACTAAAAATCAAACACACACTAATTTTCACAAGTCAAAGCAAGCTGATTACAAGTTTTATCGGCTGCAAAAATCTTAGGGGGAATTATTCAGCCAAACAAAAAAAAAGTTTAATTTAATATGGAAACATTTCAAATACACTATATCCCTTTATTATTATTAATAAATGTTGAGTTTTTTTTATATATATATATATGTATATATATATATATATATATATATACTTTAAATATGAAGATCTTAGAAAATTATATATATATATAGAGAGAGAATTATAAATTTATTATATCATATTTTTAATTACTATTTAATTAATATCAATTTGACCATAAGTTAATTGTGGTTAAACTATTAAATTTTGAACTAAAATCTTAACCAGTTCTATAAATAATCCAATTTTATAAATATTGACTAGTTCAATTTTATAAGTATCGATTTTTATAGAAGATGCATATAAAAACTTATGGGCAATGGTATTTATGTGTTAAAAAATAATTTTTAAACTAAAATAAGAGTTTTTTTTAATGGAGAAATAAAAGAAAATCTAGTAAAAAAAAGTTGAATTTTAAAATTAGAGCCAATATTAATAAATATCAAGAGTGGCGAGTTTATAGCCACTGAATTATATTATAAGAACCTTTCCTGGTAGGCTATTGTAGTAAAAGGCACTGCTTTGTTAATTGTTATGCAAAGCTTGGATCTCCCCGTTCAGTGCTTGTAATGGATGCTATTTGTTTGAAGTTCCTTTCCTTTGTTTGGTGTCTCTTTGTCGTAGTGGTATCGCATGTGAGTGCCCAGGCATCATGTGATAACAGCAAAGGCAACTACACAAGCAATAGCACCTATCACAACAACCTCAACACCCTCTTGTCCAGTTTCTATTCCCGCACAGAAATCAACTACGGTTTCTACAATTTCTCATATGGCCAAGGCACGGACAAAGTATACGCCATTTGGCTCTGCAGAGGAGATATTACTCAGGATAAATGCCTCGGATTCCTCAATCAATCCAGAGTCACTCTCGCACAGCAATGTCCAAACCAGAAAGAGGCTATTTTTTGGACTGGAGAGTGCATGTTGCGCTACTCTAACCGCTCAATATTTGGCCTCATGGAAAATCAACCTACGGTCGAACTCTTGTACACGTTGAACGTAACTGGTTCGGTGGATCAATTCAATGAAGCGCTCCAGAACTTGATGAGGAATCTAACGGCCATAGCTGCATCAGGTGACTCTCGTCGTAAGTATGCTACAGGTTCTGCACCTGCTCCGAATTTTAAAACCATATACGGTCTAACACAGTGCACGCCCGATTTGTCATCCGAAGATTGCACCAAGTGCTTGGACGAAGCTATCTCAAAAATCCCAGATTGTTGTAGTGGCAAGGCTGGAGGCAATGTTTTAAAACCCAGTTGTAGAATTAGATTTGACCCTTACAGCTACTACGGACCTACGATCAAATTAGACACAGATGCACCACCCCCATCACCCTCCACCAACGTCACTTCTTCACAAGGTAATAGCTAGTCTGCACTTTTATGCGCTCATAAATTTTCCAAAATCAGGTTTAATTGTGTTGGCTTTTCTACGTTTTATTCATGCAGGAAAGAGCAACACAGTCACCCGAACTGTCATCGCCATAGCAGTGCCCGTTGCTGGTGTTGTTTTAGCACTCGCTCTTTTCTGCATCTTTCAAAGAGTTAGGAAGCCAAGAAAAAAGATCCAAAGTAAGTCCAAGTCTCCCTCTCAAGATGGATTTACCTTACATGTTATACAAAATGGTCTTACAATTTAAAGGGACAATATAACTGAACTCTTTCTGACAAACCTTGTGATATTCCTTCTGTTAAATTAATAAACCGAGATATTTTGCAGACAATAATAAGAAATGTTTTCGTAGTCCAAAGCATGTTTTGCCTGCATTCATTGATCACCTCTAAATACTCAAAATTTTTATCCGGGTCCTCAGTTAAAAGAGAAGAAGATGGTCATGAAGATGAAATTACATTTGCTGAGTCATTGCAATTCAACTTTGACACCATACGAGTCGCTACAAATGAATTTGCTGATTCTAATAAACTTGGAGAAGGCGGGTTTGGAGCTGTATACATAGTAAGATGACGTTTTTATATTCAGATAAATATCACCTATTCGAATACTATACTGGACTGTGATGTATTTTCAGGGTCAGCTTTCCAATGGACAAGAGATTGCTGTAAAAAGGTTGTCAAGGGATTCTGGGCAAGGAGATATAGAATTTAAGAATGAAGTGCTTTTAGTGGCCAAGCTTCAGCACCGAAATTTAGTTAGGCTACTTGGTTTCTGCCTCGAAGGAAGAGAAAGGCTACTTGTGTATGAATTTGTTCCTAATAAAAGCCTTGATTACTTCATATTTGGTAAGCTCGGATGTCTGCATAATTATTAATTATTTAACTGGATTATTACCATGTTATACTTTAGTTTTGGTACAAGACATATTGACAATTAAAATTGCTTTTAATATTCATCTGGTTTCGGTGTGTATATATAGATCCAATAAAGAAAATGCTATTGAATTGGCAAAATCGCTACAAAATTATTGGAGGTATTGCTCGAGGCATTCTTTATCTCCACGAAGATTCTAGATTGCGAATTATACATCGTGACCTCAAAGCAAGCAACATTCTCTTAGATGAAGACATGCTTCCTAAGATATCAGATTTTGGATTAGCAAGATTAGTTCACATTGATCAAACTCAAGAAAACACAAGTAGAGTTGTTGGAACATAGTAAGTGTAAAATTATTTTATAAACTTATAACTTGTTTATTGTTATAGAAGCTTAATTTTAGGTAACTATTAAGTAAAATATTTTATTGTGAAAATTTATTTTCAATCAACTACATATAATATAATATTTTACATTATGTTGAAAATGTTATAAAATTTATGAGTAATTAAATTTGTTGACATTTGACATACAGTGGATACATGGCACCTGAATATGCAATATATGGTCAATTTTCTGCAAAATCAGATGTTTTTAGTTTTGGTGTATTGCTTCTTGAGATTGTAAGTGGTAAAAAAAATAGTGGTATTCATCGTGGAGAGAACATGGAGGATTTATTGACCTTTGTAAGTCTTTCTTTTCTTCTTACAAAATCTTTATTGTCCTTGTCATTAATTAGAATAATAGGATTAGAAAATAATTTATTCCTTCACATTACTGTATAGGTGGAATCTGTGAAGTAACTAACATGGGCATTTAAACAAATTCATGCAGACATGGCGAAACTGGAGGGATGGAACAGCTACAAATATTGTAGATCCGACATTAGATAACGGCTCGAGAGATGAAAAAATGAGATGCATCCACATTGGATTATTATGTGTTCAAGAAAATGTGGCTGCTAGACCAACCATGGCCTCTGTTGTGCTCATGCTCAATAGTTATTCTCTCACTCTTCCGGTACCTTCAGAACCTGCATTCGTTGTGGATAGTAGAACTAGAAGCCTTCCGAACATGCTATCATCATCAACGCATAATTCAGGGGAAACACGATCAAGTGAATCAACTCACAATTCAGTTAATAAGGCTTCAATTACTGAGCCGTATCCTCGCTAGATTTTTGTTGTAGGGGTCATAGCCACTTGTTTATTTGAATAAAATACAATATCTAATATGTTGGAAAGTCGCCTAATTTGTTGGTGTGATGTCTTGTTTAAATAGACCATACATAGAAACTAGTAATGTTATTTCAATGGTTGTCTTTAGGTATCTCATCTTACACTTTTCTTTATTATTCTCTTCTCATTTCACTCCTAAAAAATTATTTTATAAAACAAAATTGCTGGGGGAAAAATACCTTATATAAATTCTCCTTATTCATATATACCGTGTTACATGCTATGACACAATGGCCATTTTTGTTATTGGAAAATATACTTAGTGTTGGTGTTGCTCTTCGAATAATTGAATTGTTCTGTACATGTATGTAGGATAAAAATTACTTTAGTGGGTTATAATTAAGTTGCTTAAATTAGAATAAGCTTGTTTAATAAATAAATATGTTTTAATATTCTAATTAAATATAGAAAGTATTTGAACTAGATTTTTTGTTTATGAACTATTTTTTCTTCATTTTTATCCTCTCTAACTGACTTAAGTTATCCTTCTTTTTGTTAATTGGTGCAATATGTTTAATTTTAATTAAAATATCTTGTCTCTAAAATATTTTAGAGATTTTTTTTAAGATAAAGTTTTCGGTGGAGAAGATTAGGAGATGGTTTACGGTAAACCAGTTGGTATATGTGTTAGGGTTTCTCTAGTGAATTAATTTTCTCGCCAGACTATATTTTTTAATTAAGAGTCCTCACTTCTCCACAATCAAACATACCAAGTTATTTACACTTTAGCTCTCTTTATTTATTTATTTATTCTTGTTTTTAGGCTACTCCAAAGGGCAAATGAAACTTAAATAGATAAAAATATAGAAGAAGAAAAATATATAGAAAATATGATATAATAAAAATCATGATAAATATTAATAAGATGTTTAAGGTTATCATTTATTAGGTGTCATAATGTTGCTACTCGTATAAAAATTGGTCAAAACATAAGGCCATTAATTTTCACGAATTGAATTGAAAGAGAATTTTTTTTTCACACACCGATACAAATATCTTTCGTATCAAAACCAGGTTCAAGTGTTTAACCATCTTCATTTCTTATTTATAAACGAGACTTAATTGCCTTTTTTTATCCTATAGTATTATAATTGTGTAATAGAAAAAAATTATAATTGTGTAATTTTAATTTTTGAAATTTGAATTAAATTATTTTAATTTTTTAAATATTTATAATTTTGATCTTTTAGATTTAATTATATAATTGTAGTCTTAAATATCATAATTATATAATTTTAACATTTAAAATATCACAACTATATAAATTTTGACCTATTTAAGTCACATATATTATAATTTTCACATATATATATATATATATATATATATATATATATATATATATA